TCACAGTATACCAATACTCCGTACTATGTATTATACTAATGTTCCATCAATACTCAGTACTCATTTTAGTGTACGTATGAAGAGTAGGGGTACAACAAAATCTTTGAGATCACAGCAATTTACATTAGTATATATTTTTAGCTTTCAGCAATTTCTAAATCATACGATATCAAACTTCGTAGGTATGTCATCTGGTTCTGTTGGTACAGTAACATATTTGGAAATAATAAACCTTATATTTGAGAACTATGTTAATGTTTCGAATTCGTTTAGTCTTCCAAATATCTACATTGTGCGCTCAATAATATGATTAGTGATTAATCAGCGAATTCTTTCTGCTCATTAAGGTCTTGCAAAATATTTCGTTTATGAATAAAAAATATTTATTTTCATCGCTATTAAGATATAAATATTTTTATCTTTATTTTTATTATTTTTTATTTTATTTTTTATTTTATAATAAAAGAATTAATTTCAATAATGATGAATGTATTCGTCGTTATGCCATTAATTGTTGAAAGGTGGCGAAAAATGAAAGGAGATGAAGTTGAAATTTGAGCCAGTTAAGACCGTTAACTTGGACTGCCTCAACCTCGGACCATGTTGATAAAGATGAAAAATGAATCTGTTTTTGTTAAGAAAATAGAGTGGCTTTATTGTTAAGACTTTAAAAATATAAAATTTGTTATTTTTGATGTATGATATTTTTCTTGTAAATATAATATTATTATTTTATTACTAATAATTCAAGATTTATTTAATTTATTTATTTTTTTTAAATTTGTTCATTGAAGCGACAAATTATAATTATAAAAAAATCATGGCTTTTATTATTTTTAATTTAAAAGTTCAATTTCATTTATTGTTTATTTTAATAATAATAAAATTGTGTGTTCATTGTCTTCCAGAATAAATAGAAATTCTTTCATTTTTTTTTTGAGGGGACAAAATGCTTTACAACACTGAAATTCCCCATTGTTTACCGGCTGTCATTGTCCAAGTTGCATTGATACGTCACTCCGCTTACATTTTAACAATAAATTTTCATGTCGAATGACTGTGTTTTACCTTAAATTCACATTAACGCTGACCGTGTCGCGCCTGATTGAGTGCTTGAAATGATTTGGTAATTGCGACCAAATTGTTGTGGTCACTTCCACTGTAATTGGACGCAATTCATGGCTTTAATTACTGCTGTTTGGCAGCATTTTCAGTTTGTTTATTATTCCATTTCCATTCCCATTCCCATTTGCAGGTCTCGTTGCTGCGGTCTTTTGTAGGTGACAAAATTGCTTTGATTGATTGGATATTGGAATTGGATATGAGCTCAAAATAATTATTATAAATATTTAATATCCTCTAGTCAGCGAAACGAGTACCATAGATACTTGTATGCTTTACGTAATGTTTTGATCTTAACATTTATCGCTTGTCAATTCACAACTAATAATAATTAAAAATAAAAAATCTGACGCCATTTATCAATGACTTCATTGTTATTTGTTATTAACTTAAAAATTAAATAGTAAAAATAAATAAATTCATTTAAGTTTTTTTTTTTCGTATAAATCTGATTATATAAATCATTTATAAATCGTTTATAATTAAAATTTCAATTTGTTATGAATTTTTTTATACATTTTTTATTTAATTTATTTTTTTAAAATTTTTTTATAAAGAGGTTTTCTCGAACAGTAGTTCGAGAAACAAAAATTCATTTTATATAATTTATATAATATTTTTTTATTTTTTTTATTTTATTGAGACAAATATATAAATTACTTTTATAATAGTTTTTGTTGAAAGTCGAAGTATTTTGTTAAAATGTATTTCCAATGCCATTAAATCATTAATCCCAATTAAAACTGATGTTGAAGAAGAAGTATTTAAATAAAATGAATACAGTGATTTAAGTAAAATATGTTTTAAAGCTTATAAAATAATATTAAATTTGATTTTAACCATCAATTATGAAGAAAGAACAAACAGTATTGTTTTAAAAGCAAGAAAAAGGAACATCTCTATAAAATAATATTATCAAGTCACATAAGCTTTTTATCAACATGTTTAAGTTTAATAAAACTCATTGTCCTATAGTAAAACTCCACAGATCCAATGCCTAAAATTAGTTGTAGGCTTATAGATGCCCTAGTAGAAATTTCATTGTCTAGTGCAGTGCAAAGAAATTCTCGCAACTTACGAAAAAAAACATGAGAAGCAATAACAATGCTCTTAAAATCTTCAGAGTTAGGTTTTACTCGCAAAAAACTTTAAGTCTTAAATTTCAGTAGTGCCAAGTTTTAAAATCAGTCTATTGTGAATATCCACTGTGAATGTCATCTGTTGTTTCGGATAAAGACAAATAAAGTGATTAATGCATTTTATATGTATTACGACAACCTCTGCATAATCCACATGACTAAACACACCACCGTTGAAGCATCGGTGCAATACTTTTTGTTTTATGAGTAACCTCTCTAGCCTATAAGACCTTAAAAATCTCTTAGTTTTCGCAATTAGTCCATAAGTCATTTATCAGTCCATCAGTTTGTGTATCGAAAAGTCGGCTTCAGTTGGGAACACTACTGGTTAACTCGTGTGTTATCTAGTTCTCTTCAATATTCCAATATTCTAACATCCAGAAACCTGACAATAAGTGTTCTTGTGATATTCGATTTTCATCAATGAGGTACGATATTTTATTGCAATCCTCGATTTCACTGTTTGTGTTTCGATTGTCTTTACAACTGCCTGGCTGTCTATAAAGACGTTCAGAACGAGTTGTACTAGTTTTTGTATGCCTGGCTGATTTAAGTACGACATTTCATTACAATTTTTGATTTCAGGTCCTGAGACTCAATTTCCTTTAGAACTGCCTGACAAAGATAATGATTTTTGAAGCATTAATTAATTAATTAATTGTATTAGCCAGGCTGCTATTTCGATTTTGATTTCCATATATAAATGGTACTACGTTTTTAAAATACTTCATTGGATAATGTCATCCCGAAAATTTAGATTTTTAATTAAAATGTAATGGTGAATAAAAATCAATTACAAAAAATAAACGTTTTTTATGTGTAATTTACATAAAATTTATATTTTTTAATAATGAGTTAATATTAGTAAATAAATATAAACCATTTCAGTTGTCTAAATTAATTACAAACTGTTAGACCAATATTTTTAAAGGAACAGTTAACCTTAAATATCTACCATTAATAAAACCTAAGATATGGCGACTTAAAAATAACTCTAAAATGCATACTCTCACGACCCAATGGTTCAGTATCTCTTTGAAGAAACTTTGAACATTTCTCTTCGGAAATTTTGGTCTTTTTATTTTATTATTAAAACATTATATTGAAGCTCAATTTTTCAGTTACATCGAGACAATGTGCTCAAAAGCTATAGCCTTTGTTAAAGAATGATCCATATATATAAAAGAAGTGGATCTCGTTGTTATTAATAATTCCATGTATATATAATGCGCCTTTCTTTCTTTATTAACAATTTCTTACTATAGTTCTGTCAAAATAATCAAAATATTACCTAGCCTCTAAACGAAATCTATTCGCTTTAAGTGTACTTATTTGAAATCGACTCAATAAACCACATGATTCCACACACTACTATTCCGACCGCATTTAACTGCAACTCATCGGGGATTATCATTACTGTTCCGCTGCTCCTATTACCATTTGCAACAAGTGCGCGCTTCTTTACCACTTTCACCCAATTACAACCTTTGGGATTTTGAATTTATGTCATCGTCATGCGATGGCACCAATGCCGAAGCAAAATCACTGCAGCTCAGCATTGCATGTTGCACGACTCCAACATGGAATGCACTAATGAACTGTGCGCGATAACACGAAAACTGAAATTGAAATCTGAAGCAATTTATTCGCTGCAAAAGGGTTTGCTAATGGATTTCAAATTTCCTCAAAACTTCCATTGATTTGACAAATTAAAAAATTGGACACAGACAAGAGTCTTCGACGTCCTATAGGATTTAAAAGGGTTCCACTCCTTTAAATATTGTTTTGTGTTTTGTGTATCGTTTCAGAAAGAAACCACAATTATCAACAAAAACTCACATCAAATAAAATTTGTTCATTAAAAATGTGGCAGCAAATATTGAAAGTTAACAAAATCATCGACTGACCACAATACGACAGAGTATTTTGTGGTCTCTGCGCCTTAAAGCCGTACATGGGTTAAGCCTATTTGTGGTTTAACGTACTTGAAAGTGAAAACAAACTTTGTATATTTTTGTTTTTGTATATTTTATGGGCTTCGTATTTATTTGCTTACTTTCCGTCAACCATAAACCTAACTTCCTCAGGCTTTGATTTTGTGGATTGATGATGCGTTTTTACCAGCCCTTTTTTTCTCATTTGATGTATTAGTTTTAATATTTTTTGAGACAAATATAAATTTTAATTTAATATGGCGAATAAATTAATTACATTTGTTTATAACCCACTTACATCAATTCAATAAATTTATTTCGAATTGAATTCCATGAGCAAAAGCACGTGGCTTCCGTTTCAGGTCTTCAGTCCGATACAATCACTTGCATTTGCATATCATTTAACTCAACCGCACACGTAACTGTGACTTCATGTCGAGAGATACTCAGATACAAAGGCAATTATTTTCATAGTCTTGTGCTTAAGTTCGACCGATATTTGTGGTTAATAAATAAACTGCAAGTGTGGTGCAATTAGTAGGTTTCATGTAGCAGCAGACCAGACATTCGGTCACCATTCACCCTTGCATTGCGGTGATGTACTCGGTATTCCTCGTTTGGGGTTGTCATTTCTTCGTTTGGGGCAGTCAATCATTTACAAATTGTTTTCTATTAAATTGTGTACGTAAACTAATTACAAGTGATTCATTGTATTCAATTAATTTATATTTATTCAAATCCAATTTGCATTCTCATTCTTTATTAATATTCATGCTAAATTGTCATCTTTATCATTTCAGTTCATGGCGCAAAATATTGTTGTTGTTTCTGACTACAATTTCAATGGCAAAATTCCAATCAATTCAGCTCTCAGGACAATCTATTAAAGGTAATAAATTAATATTAATTATTAAAATTAAATTTATAAAGATTGGAGTAGACAACCAATTTTCAATAATTTAATCTGTTATTAAATTTATTTATGAAGGAAGTAGTTTTATGTAAAACTTATAAACTTTAATTTATGAATAATATTTGGGTCAGAAAAAGTTCTCCTAAAAATAATTACGGATGGTATAATATAATACTTTAAAATATAAAATAATATTTTATAATATAATATAATATTTTATTATACAAATAACAAAATATACTTATATTTTGGTCCCAAATGCTTAACTGAAATAAGTAGAGATTGTGATCTCGAAGCGGTATTCAACATTTTAAAATATTTTTAAAATATTTTATAATTTAATATTTTATTATTCACAACATATTTCACAATATTTATAATATAATATAACATTTTATACACTATATTGCATAATATTTTTACGTTAAAAATGCTTCCCTTAAAATAATTAGAGACTATGATCTCGATGTTACATTTAATATTTATATATTTAATTTTTTATTTTGTTAATAATTTTATTTCTATTAAAATTTTGAATTTATTATTAATTATGTTCTTTTAAATATTTTATATTTGGCTACAGATCACCTCTTTATTAAAATTAAACATTTAATATTTTTTAACATATTCTATATTTCGACTCTCCTTGAGAGTCATCATTAGGATCATAACATTCGAAATATAAAATATATTAAAAAAATATTAAACAAACGCTAAATTTTAATTTTAACAAAAAGGTGACCTGTAGCCGATTTTAAAATATATATAAAATAATGTTATTTCTATTTTAATTTTTTAAATTATTTTATAATATAAAATAATATTTTAAAATACAATTATATTTGATTTTTAATGTCAGTTATAACATTTCTGTTTCTATTTCTTTAAAATAATCTATTATTTTCAATAGAGAGGTTTTTGGAACAATAGTGAATCGCAACAACAAAATTTTATTATTTTTAATTAATTGAACATTTGGCTGATCATACAGCTGTTATTAGTGGTATTTATTGAATTATTTCTTACATGTATTTATTCCTATATTTAGTAAATTATTTTTGCTATATTTCGCTATATTTTAATATATGTATTTGCTATATTCAATAAATATAATCAAAAAACTAACAGTTCTTGACGTGAGTATAGCCAATATTAATAAAAATGTAATTATTGCTACATTATAAAAACATTGTAATAGTACCCTGACGATTACTATAGAATATAGTCGAAATATTGGTGTAAACAGAAAATTATTTAAAAACTAATATTTTAAAAAATTGTTAATTATAATAATAATTATTATTTTAAAATAATAAAATAATTTAAAAACTATTAATAAAATTCTTGGTCATTAAAACAGTAATTATAAAATTTAAATAAATTATTATGCATAAAAAAAAATAAACAAAATAAAAAATGACAGAATAAATAATTATATATATTATATTATATATATACAAAATTTTTGTGAACATCTAACTGTATATGTATGAATACGCGTACAATTGTATAAATATATTAAAATATATAAATTTATTAATATAATATGTTAAAATATTATAATTAAATATATATAATATATAAAATAAATAAAATATATTATATATAATACTTAACAGGTTTTTGTGTTTTTTTAGGTTTTCCAAGCTTTAGTTTGATTATTTAATTTTAAATAATTAGACAAATATGTTAATAAAAACATTAATTCTATTACTTAATTTCAAAAACAAAAATAATAGTTTTTAATTTTAAATAGATATTTCAGACTACTTCGTAAACCAGATTCAATGTTATTATATATTATTTACGAAAAAAACCGATATCTGTTTTAAATAAAGTAGCTATTACTTTTGTTTGAAATTTACAAATTTATTCAATATTTTTATTTATATTTGTTTTTATTATAATAATATATGAAGTAATTTTAAACAAAACCAATCTAAGCCGAAAAAAAACAAGTATTTATAAACAAATAATGTTGATAGCAATAATATGCATTTAAAATACATATAACGTTCTGTCTAAAATGTTTAAAAATAAATGTATTTTAGCTCCCTAATACAAGGTTCGTTACTCTATCTAGGCTATTTAGTTTTAGAAGATTTCGAAGAAGATACAAAAAGTATCATTTTCGTAGCCACTACTGTAACTCATAAAAAAAACAAAAATTTATTTGCATACTATAAAGCTGCGGACAAAAGGCCGATCTATGCAAAAAAATTTGATTGCATGCTTTTAGGTAAATTTATAGCAGTCGGTGTCACATCGTATTTAGTGATTTATTTATTTATTAAGAAAATTACTATTATTATTTTAATTATTAACAATAAACTGAATTACTAACTAAATTATAATATTTTTAAATTATAGTGCAACGATCCTAAACTCGATTACGCATTATAAAAAATCAATTTATTTGCACATTATTAGAATCAAAAATCATGGTCAATCGGGTTTTCAAGAGTGGTGTCTGCTCAAATTGGGTCAAGTTGTTCCAAGTAATAAAAATATAAAATACTGAACTTAAAATAATTACGCACCTACGAGAGGCGTTCGAATAATAAACGTATTCGTATAATAGAGGCATCAGTTAGGAGACTGGTTTCGTTCAATGTTTAAGCACCAAATCAACTTTAACATAATACTTAACTTCTAAAAACATACTTCTATTAATTAAAAATATTTTATTGAATTTTTATGTATCTCCATATTATTTATTAAACTCTCTGTTAGGATAAGGATGTTTTTTAAATAGCTTCTTTTGAGAAGTAAAAATAAACTTCATTTATATAATATGTATAGTCCTAAGAAGACTATTGAAGTTGCAATGGTATGTAAGAAATTCGAGCATTCATGAGGATATAAAAGTAGAGAGCATTACAAAATATATTACGGATTTCGATACTGTGCAACTCATTAGAATAATGAGCTTAGCTCAATAAGGACCATTAGTATTTTTTGTCACCAGTATCAAATACGCTAGATCTATTAAGAACTATCAGCATTTTTTGTCACCAATGGCAGATATGTTAGACTTCAAAGTCTGATATCATAAAAAAGCAATTTGCTCTAGTCAATATCAACAAAATTACATCTGTATTAACCGATGAACTTCCCGAGTAATTAACTTCATAAGTGAAAGTGAATTAAAAGTGAATTAAATACTAACTCTAGGTTTAAAACACAACAAAAAGGAAACAATAGGCAGCAACGGACCTATAATATCTATAAAAAGAGAACGAACGAATGAATTTACAAAAATAGGTTCTTTTAGTTCAGCAATTATTGATAAATCCGAACTCATTTTGACGGGTTTTTAAATATATTTATAATTCTTTTCATATAATTTCCAATATTTTAAAGTTAAGATTAGAGTTCAGTTAAGATCTTAAAGATCTATTTAAATCTGTTGACCTGTTTTATTGATATATAAAAATCAAGGTATTTAAAAACATTCGAGACCTTTAATAAAGCTATAACTGCTACTAAAAGAAGGGTTTTGTAGCTGATTAGGTGAGGCCGATTTGTTAAAATTCAACTGCACCTATACCATGTACCATGATTCCTGCTAGGGTTTTAACGAGTTGGAGGCAGTTACTCACCAGTTCAACGCAATCAATTAGGATGGTTGATGAATTTGATGACCGGGGTTGAAATGGTCGTTGCTAGAAGATGCTATTATCTATGAAAAGGACAGCAGGCATGCGGAACGAGTCGGAGGCAGTTACTCACCAGTTCAAGACAATCAATTAGGATGGTTGATGACTTTGATGACCGGGGTCGAAGCGATCGTTGCTAGTAGATGCTATTATCTATGAAAAGGACAGCACGCATGCGGAATAGAATATTTGGCAGAGTTCTCCACGTAGTGGTGATCTACATCACACCAGTCGGGGAAGTAAGTCTCTTACATATTTAATCTACATTGGACAAGCATTCGGAAATAAACCACTTTTATCGTTGTTCTTATGGCTGTAATCATTAAAGGAAGGATTTCATCTTATCTTGCGGAGTATGCGGATGCTTTGAAGCAGGCAGGTCTACTTTTTTAGTGGGTTTTATGAAAAGTCTTCAACTCTAAATACCAGTATTTTAAAATTAAGTAATATTCACAGAAGTTGTTTAAAAAAACTACATTCACTGAAATCCTTTGTTAAATAGATCTGCTCGAGTAATCAGAAACATAACCAGATAACAATTTAATAAATAGAAAAATGAATTTCATTTGAATCAAAAAGTAAAGAAAAAAAATATTTTTCAATTTACAAATATTATTTAAATTGTTGCAAGAAATATTTCATAAAATAATGAAATCAAATTTTAAATTATATTTTCAAATATTGTGTTGTTTTTTTCTATTTTAATAATTTTTGTGTAATATTTTCACAGATGCCCTAGTCGAGTACACAATTCTCGATATCATGAACAACAATCAATTCGAAGGCATTGAATTTGATTATGCAGAAGACGGCTTTCCAGCGTATAAATTCCTACCCATCGCTGATGTCAAGTCGCCGTATCGCTTGTTCCTGCCAGAGAAGTTGTATGAATTTGCAATTATGGCGTCGTTTAGCCCGAATTCACCCAAGGGCGGTTATCTATTCAGTGTGGTGAATCCATTGGATACGGTTGTGCAGTTGGGCTTACATTTATCACCTGCGATAAAAGGCATGTGGAATGTGTCGCTGCTGTACACACAATCCGAGAGTAATACGATACGGAAACTAGTCAGCTACCAGCTACCCTACAAGGGCAAAACCTGGTCGAACATCGCCTTTCAAGTGCTAAGCGATAAAGTCGTCTTTTATCACAATTGTAAAGAGACCGAAACCACATTAATTTCTAAGGAGCCCATGGAGCTTGTTTTCGATTCCGCATCCACTTTGTATGTGGGACAAGCTGGCCCAAATCTCGGCGGAAATTTCGAGGTAAGTCATGTGTTATCCAATTTTTTATTTAATGAAATTTTCAATACAAACTTTATGTTTTATTTTTTGATGAAAAATCAAAAATAAATAAAATAAAATGCCTTTTAATGGAAAGTACATTTAAAAAAAGTTCAACAGGTCAAGAATTAATAAAAAGCAAATAAAGTAAAAAATTTCTGAGAAATTCTATTTTATGAAAAATGATTATGAAAAATACAAAAAAAAAAAATAATATTAAATGTTCTATGATGTCATAAATGCTCAATATGTCTGATATATGATTGATGTAATATTTTTTTTTTATTAAATTTTAAAGTATCTATGACTATGCGGTTTTTCCATGAATTTTTCCATTCAATAATTCAAGTGTGTTTTTTTTTTATGAACATGAAGAAAATTTTAAATATTCTTTTTTGTGTAAAACTTTATATTTAAATAAATTTTCTTACAAAATATCTCTTTTAAATCTATTTGGTTTATAAATTTCTCCACCTTTTAAATTGTGAAGCTGAAATCATTACATTTTTGTGGGCTTGAAGAAATAAATATGAAAAGGCAATTACTTTAAATAATTTGTATCTAAGTTACTATTCACTCAAATAAGACTACAACTTAATTAAATTAAATAACAACAAGTGCCTAGCATTCACATATTAATTAGAAACATTCATTTTAAATACTGGAAGAATTTCAGTAAATCAAGTATCCTTACAGGATTGTTAAAAATAGAATATTCAACACTAGACGAACGGATAAATGCATTAGCAATAACGGAATATTTTCGTTCAGCTAATACTGAAAAATTCAAATACTCTTGGTTATGTCTCATACTATGTTAGTTAACCTTGCTTTTTCTATAGTTTGGTTATATTTAGAAGCTTAAATTAAATTGCGTTTTTTAAGTACTCTTAGAGCTATCGATCTATTGTGCAGTCATATAAAACTTGAGTGTCTTAAATCATCTGGATTTTATAAGAAAGTCACAGCCGCATTTTAAAGAATGTCTCAATAGCTATCTAAGTTTGTCTAGATAGTAGATTCTGGTATGTTTAATCTACATTATGCAGGCACTAGAAATAGAGAACTTTTAACTTTCTTCTTCTGGCAGTAATCGTTGAACCGAAAATTTGAACTTAACTTGCGACAGTGCTTTCGTCTTAGCCGCCACTGCTCTTAATATAGTCTAAACTGCTTCTTAAAGAAAGGCTCTTTATAAATTTAAGTTGCTCTCTAAAAAAAAGCTCTGTAACTTGCAAAAAACTTCAAGGAAGTAAATTTCTGGCATATTCAATCCACATTGTGCATTTATTTGCAATAAAACACTTTTATCACTTATCTGATGGCAGTAATCATTGAAGGAAAGATTCAATCTTCTAGCATCGTTTCCTAATCGTAAAGAGTACTCAATAACAAACTTACTTTAAGAATGATGTATTTATGATTAACAACGGACTCATATTCAGCAGAAAGCCAGTCCACAGCATGTTCAGGCACTAGAAATAAAGCGCTTTTATCAATTTTCTCGTGGCAGTAATCATTTAATAGTAGATTCAATTCATACTTCCATCCAGAATCTTCAAGTAAACCTACTCTTTTCTATAGAATTTCTAGTTTATAAGTTTTCTGTATTATCTATACCAGGGCTGTCCAAAGCATGACTCACGCGCTTCATGCAACCCTCGGCTAATATTTGTGCAGCCCGCGCAAATAAATAAATACTCAAGATTACTTGGATCAGATTGTGGAATTTAATGCATATATGGTAGTACAAATTTTGTTTAGATAATCTATTATCGCTTATATTCACTGCGGTTCAGTTCTGTAGTTGAAAATATATAGAAAAATGCGCTTCTACGTCGAGATCATATAATTGAACGAGTGTACGACTTTTTAATGTTCAGGGCGTCCATTTCATTGATAATGCATTTTTTCATCCAACTCTCTGAATATCATTCAGTTTTACAGATGATTTTAAAGAAAGCAGATAAGTCTAAGTTGATCTACAATTAATTTTTATTTCTCCATGCAAAGGAAAAAGTTTACAAATAAATGCAGAGTGTAATCTATCTGAATATTATGAGACCGTTTAGCACTACGAAGTTCTTACAATCCTCTTTAGAGGATCAACAATTTTTAACAGTGAAGGTAAACATGTTTGTTCTGTAGAAAGTATTATATTTATAATCAAATCGTCCTAAACTACATAACATTTTATCAAGCATAATACTTGCTAGTTAAAAAAAATCATTTTAAAACAAAAAAGCCCTAATAAAGTTCAGCATATTTATATATAAAAATTATGCTGTCACAATGGGCTTACCGTCTCTGGAAACAGGATTCTCGATTTAAAACTTGCCCATGATAAAAAGGCATTAAGATATTGAAAGCAGCAACCAATATTGTTTAAAGTATCTATAAATGGTAGAGTGTAACCCATCTGTACGTATAAATCTGACACCATGGTGGTCAGGGCCGATAGCTTCGACTGTTTTGACCAATAGAAGTTGGTTGGAAGTACTCTGCTAATTGTTACTAAAACTTAAACTAATACAAGTAGAAAGACTACGTTCATTACTTTCATTCTATTTGAAGTTGCATTACAACTGTATGCTGTTGGATAGATATTGTTCCCTTTCGATATAGGAAACTAAATCCAAGTTTGTGGCCTCGTTCCCTAAATTGGTATGGACGAAATTGCTTGGAATTTCAATGGTTAAAACCTAAAGTTACGCGCGTAAAATGGTAGTTTTTCTTTACTTTCATTCGAATGGGAGTTATATACTTCAACCGCATGCTGTGATCCAAAATCAGTAGTGCTCTTGTATAGGTCTTGCTTCCCTCGCAAGGATAAAACTATATCTAAACATATGGCTTCAATTAGTAACTGTGAAATTTCAGCATGAAATACACCTTTCGATTTCAGTGGTGCATTTATCGTTGCTTCAGACTGATGTATGTATTAGGAAGTCCAGCGTTAATGGGAAGTAATTACGTTAAAAAGCTATGGATTCTGTATAATAAATGTACCACGGTAAATATTGAAGAGGAACAATACCTTCTGTTTAACTAAATTTTTATTTAATACCGGCGCAATTGCTTGGAACTCTGATGAGGCCATTTATCTTTGCAATTTACTGATACGTGTGTTAAAAATACAATAATCCCGTGAAAAAACTACAAGCTCTATCACAATGTATCCGATTGCCAATTGAGGTCTAAGTGAGTCTGACTTTCTGTAAGACTTGCTTCTATTTACGCGCTACCGCCTCAATATTTCATTTTTTACACGATTTTTTCTGAGAGTTTAAATAATTCCACTTTTTCACCACTACAAAAGCTTTTCGAAAATGCATTTTTTTTACAAACTTACTGAGCACAGCGCCAATTTGCACTAAGTGTCAAATTATGCAAATAAAATTTTGAGCTATTTTATTGCTAAAGAGAAAACTACCCTTACTCAAGGGAGTATTTCATATAGACAACATATTTCAACTTTTAAAAACGAACAACAGTGCTTAGCCACTTAAAATGGTGGCGCTAGGCACACTAAAGGGATTGTTTGCAATACTACTTACGGCTTTACATGCAAAGGACTCGTTTTGCTCTCTCTTTAGCGTTTGCGCGCTCTTAAATACTTCACACACGATATGTCATGAATGGCTGAATATCGTTTGAGTCGTCGAATGACGAGCAAATAAAATAATAACAACAAAATAGGCAAAATTCCTTTGCATGTTGTGTTCGGGCTTTCCTGTTAACAGCTTCGTGCTTACTTTACGATTTTCCGGCGCCTTTACCAAAAGGCGTTTGTGTGTTGGTTTCTCACACAAATTGTGTGTTGAATTGTGTGTGTGTGTGTGCGTGTGTGTTAGAGTTTATGTGTGCTGAAGTTGCTGCGTGTGATTTTTTCTAAAAAGTTTGTGCTACGAGTACGTTTACCTCAGTCGCGTTAGGTGCTGCAAGCGAAGAAGATGTGTAGTTGCAAGGTGCGCTGGTTTTAAAATTCAAAAAACACAAATTCAAAACAGAACAGAAAATTGCAAAAGTCAATAAAGAAAGTGTTGTAATCAGAAATAATTAAAATTTTCAAGTAATTTTTGAAGATACTTTCAATTGTAAAAAATTCAATTAAAAAAGACTAAAGCTACTTCAAGTCAATTCAAGTCACATTCGGAATAATTCAGATTTACATGCGGCAATTCAGAAACTTTTGCGGCAACTTTAAACCTAAAAATTGTGCATTTTTACGAAAGTGAAACTCTTTGAAGTGGCCGAGTACGTTGCGATTGGTATGTTGTTGTGTAGTAGCACAAAAATATACGAAAATAAATTTTTAAATATTTTAAAGAAATAATAATTCTGATGATAACAGAATTCATAATTACACAAGCAACGAATAATTATTCAAACAATTGCAGCACTTGAAATTTAATTACTACAAAAAAATTATTTTTTTTTTCCTTATTTGGAAGAAAACTTTCTGAATTGTAAATTCAGTAGAAAAAAAAATAAATAAAAGTACACTAAAAACTTTAATATTTACGCGCGGTAAATGACTTTAAACGTGCGGTTGTCAGAAGTCCTTAAACGTGTACTTCGGAAGAAATTGAAAAAATACTTTCAAATGTGAAGTGAATTTTTTATTGTGCAATTATTAAACTTAAAATATTTTTAAATAAATTTTTAAAAAATTTAATTGCATTTGTGCTAAGTAAGCCAAAGGATTATTATGAATTTTTAATACACGCTTTAATCCTTGACATTAAAAACGTGCTCAAGCATAACTGCAGGGAGGAAAAGTTAAGCAAAGTTAAAACATATCGCGTTCATGTTAATAACATTAAAAGTAAAGTAGAAAAAAGTAAAGCAAAGAAGTAGTAAGCACAAACAAAAAAAAATGTCAATAAAAGACAAAAAAAAAAATTTAGCAAAACATTAATCCCTGCACGTCGACTACTCTTATAATATTGACTGCTTCTTAAGCCCGCTTAACCGTTTTG